ATTGCTCTAAATTTGTAGTCTTCATTGCATCAAGAATTACAGTGCTCGCTCGGGGGTCGGCTGCCACTGCAAACTTTTGGCTATAAAATTGTGGATTCCTGCGCGATAATATCATCATTTCCTCCTTTTCTCTCTCTCTTTCTCTCTCTCTCTTTTTCAAACTCGCGCACGGCCACGGCAATACGGCCGGCGCACTTACTACTACTTGCGCACCACCGCCACCATCGATAACACCCTGCGTGAAGTTTTCCGCGAAATGGCCCGCGGCTTAAGGGGTGGGAAATAAAAAAGTTGCAATACATGTGGTGTGTGAGTGCGTGGGCTGCTGGGCGCGCGCCGATGATGTACACGGCGGTGAGCGGGAGAGCGCGGGGCTGCTGCTGCCGCTGGAGGGGTGTTCCACAGGCGCGCTGCTGCTGGCCGGGGCGTCCCATTGTTCGCCGGCGAGGAAGAAGAGGAGGAGGAGGAGGATTCACTTTGTTTGAAATTAATTGCCGTCCGGATAATGTGCTGGACGGAGTTTTGTTGGCCAATGTGTTTTGTTGTGGGCGTTGTGTTTCCGGGATGAGATGGGAGTCAGCGCCCACAGGGATGCCTGGCATTGTTGGCAGAAGTAAAACATAATAAAAAAAATAGAAAATCAGGGTAGGGTGTTGTGAGGAAGGAAGGGTGCAAGACATGGAGGACGGCGAACAGCTTTATTCGCATTCTTCTCGGAGCTCCGCTCCGATTTTCTTTTTCTTTTTTAAATGACGTCGTAATGCAAGAATTCGTCTGGCATCCCCAGGGGAGGTTCTGGCTCCTTTCTGGTCCCGGGCTTTCTTGTTGCAACTTCTTGATCTGATGGTAATGTCCGATTTGTCCCTCTTGTAGTATACTTGGAATGAACTTGTTCGGTTGCAAGTTCTGTCCTAAAGATGCAAAGCCTGGGAGTGAAAAGTGTGATCGCAAGAACTTTGACTCTTTACTATGGGCCCTAGTCACTGTCTTCCAGGTACTTGAGTTCACTTTTCTCTGCTCCTCTGTTCCATTATGTTTTAAGTTCCATTTCCTAACTTTATTATTTTTGAGCAATATAATTTTGTTCTTTGCTTACTTTTTGTTACCTATATCTTGGCTCCTTTCTCGTACAATTTACTTTTTCCTTTTATGCCTCGTACCGCTTAGCGTTTCCACTCATATATCTATATATAACTAGCACTAACATAGCACTAGCCGAGCACACACCAAGGTCAAGGTCCGAGGCCCTGCTGGGCTGTCATACAAAGTGTGTAACTGTGAAATGTATGGAACATCAGTAATTTATGTGATATAATTTGCGGTTTATTTGTGTAAGTGCACAACATTGTGTACGCTACGACTATTGCACATGTAATGACAATCGTCAGTGGCACATGTTTTGTATGATGGTGTTGGTGTTTCGGCGCGCCTTTTCGGTTCGCTACAATACATCATGTTCGCTTTGCTTAGCAGCTGTGCCGCAAAATCGTGACCAAAATAACCAATAGAGGCTCATATGCTGCCGTGTCCCTTGCCCTAGAGAGCACGTCTCAGAGCGAGGTGGATTATTGAAACGGTATCGAAACTATATCGAAAAGGCAAAGGCGACGTTTTCACGATATCGTTTCGACGTCGTTTCGACAGTCATTTCGCAATGCACCGCCAGAAATGGGGCGACACCAAAATTTGGATGATATCGCAATGACGATCGTGTTGATATTACATGTCGTCTTTTGCCCACTTCTTTGTCGCTAGCGACAGGAAAAGCGAGAGAAATTCGACATGCAATATCTAAACGATATCGCCGTTTCTGGCGGTGGGGAGCGTGCCCGTGCCCGCTGCGCACATCACTAGCTCTCCTGGCGGCGGCGTTCGCAAAGCAAGCTTAACCATCAAGGAAAACTATCACGCCCTGCATGCCACAGTCTATGTTATTATCGTAATGGTACCAAGGAGCGCGCGTTAGATCGTTGTCGTAGGTAATTTGTTCGTTGTTTATATTAGAGCGAGTTGGCTTACCTGACGCGCGGCTAAACTGTCCAAATGTACTCTTGTCATACGCTACACGTCAAAATGAACAACAACAATTAGAAAAGTTTGAGATGTGATAAGTCAAAAATTTGTATAAAGGCTAGAAGATTTTAAAGTATGACAGTTACATTTCGGATTGTGGCTGAAGTAGAATAACCGGGTGTAAATACCGGACGTATTGCTGCACCGCCGGCACCACCCGTCGTTCGTAGAGAATGAACCTGGCCGCTTATGTCGTTTATCCCTGCTCACATACGGCCTGCGTCGACCATTGCAAAACACTAAAACCATCGACGTTCGCTGAGCATTTAAAGTGCATCGTTTAAAAACAGGTGTTGAAAGAATAACCGACACCGCGCTGCCTCTATAATTTGCTGCAACCTGTATCTTATTGAGCCGTCGATCTTAGAGGGTGGTTCAGCTTGTGACCATATCTCTACGTTCTGCTGCGTACTTGTAAAGGCTGCACTGAGCGCATGGCGACGGCTGCAGCAGGCTGACGGATCGTTCACAAACTGCCTTGGTGGTTGTGCGACACTTTATTTTTTCTCAAGTAGGCGTTGTAGAATTAAGCATTTCTAGAGAATATGTTGCTCTCAGGGGTTACAGACAGGTTTTACAGGTGAACCTCAGTTAAATACTAAAATAGTGTACGGCCCTTTAATGGAGGAAGCGTGGCGAACAAGTATCCGGGAAACCTATGTGTGCGATCCGTCGGTCGTAGCGCGCTGCTTCATGTTTTGGCAGCTCGGTGGGGCGCCGTGAAGCCGATATGTTCAGTCGGCTCCGGCGATGGTGCATTGCATACGTGGTCGGGATGACGAGGGGTGGTGGAAGGGGGGTGGGGGGAGTCCACGGGTTGGTTCTGAATGCCAGCCGCGTCTGTCGACCCTTTTACCTCGCGTCGCGTTTTGCCTCGTCTCGTTCGGCTCGCGAAGCCTCTTCATGTTCGCCCGCCTCCATGAATGGGCTGAATAAGGCAGCCTGGGACCCGCGTCTGTCATGCCAAAAGAAAATACACGTATATAAAATGTAACAGGATAGAGACGTCTCTTCGGCGCACAGCGACTGTCTGCACCAGCGTAGTGTGTATTATTGTTATTATTATTATTCCTCCTTATTATTGTTGAGATTTATATATTGTTACTCGTAAAGTACAGTTACTAAAGATGCCAATATACCTGGAAAACGTTGGCTAGAGATTGATATGATCCCAGTATTTTGATTAGACGTACGTTTATCTTCCAAACCGAACCCCTTACATGTGTTCGAGGCAGTCCGGGTTCAGGTTCAGGTACGTACAAGAGCACCCAGGGTAGTCGTAGAGATGGTAGAGAGCAGGCGCGCATTCAACACGATACCACCAAGTAGTAAACGAAAACTACAAAAGCAGCAGTTTTTAAAAATAAACGCTTAAAGAAGCTCCTAAAACAGTACCACAATCTTTTGTAAATCAATCGTAAATTAATGTTAAATTGTAAATAATGATAATAATGATGATAATAATAATACACATGAAACATCTAAAAAATACTTTTAAACCGAATTGATACTAATGAGCGAACGTCGAGTCCGTCGGCGTGTCTTCATCACCTTACGACACCAACAGAAGGGATCCTTGGACCAAGCATGTGTTTCTTGCGTCTCGATCGCTAAAATACTGAGAAACATAACTGACACGAAATGCTGGAATAAGCCGTTTCCTTTGCTCATAGATTAGTTTCCAACCAAATTAAATTGCTCTGTGAATGTTTGATGGAGTCAACACTCCATGTCTTCTTCTTATACTGTCTCTTTTTTTCACTTTACTGTCTTCACTACAACTATCCTGTCTTTCTGTTTTTGTTTTCCTCCGTACCTTTAAAATCGTTTTGCAGAAGGACAAAGTTCCTTCTTTTCGACTAGACAATATAAAATGGCTCTCGGAGACAGGATGAGCGAATTATCTTCTTGTGCCACACACCCAACTTTGTAACTTACAGGCCAGACTCTAAACAGGGCAGCCAACATCAACACGCCGAGCAACAGCGCTGCGTACACAGACAAAAACAGCGGGCGCAACACTTACATCACCATTAAAAAAATATATGTTCTCATTCAACAGGCTTCCTCTTGGACCGGCGCCGCCAAAACGTCTTTATTTCACTCCTTAAACAGTTTTAGTTCGAGCAACGGAAGCCACCTCATCGCCACTGCCGAACCATTTCACAACGCAACAACAACAACAGAACTTCTAATTGACACGAGACTCAAATACGAACGTTTAAAAAACAAAATATGTCTTTTTTCTGAATAAAGTAATTGTCCGTTGTAAGCGCAGAGCGTGGCCGCCCTGAGGATGGGATGCTTCAGTTGGACGAGCTCTGTATGCGTAGCGGTAAATCCTTTTACCATTTCACGAGAGCCGCGCCGCGTCCCGCTGCCGCGCCCCGCCACTGCCGGGCGAGCGGCAGGGCTAGCGTACCTGCACTCACGTAGGCTTCTATAGCGAGCGTCTCTCTCCAGCCTCCCGATTTTCCTGTCTCTTCATCCTCTGTCTCACTCTCTTTCTCTCTCCTTCTCTCCTGTACTGCATCCTCTTGCTCGCCGTAAAACAGCTCACAACACGTGAGTCTCGACGAGCAGTCGCTTCTTATGCCTCAACCTCTTGTTGTCAGGAGCAGACTGCCGAGGGCGGCTGTTCTGTTCGGCGAGCAGGGGACACCCCTCCTCACCCCAACCTGCATCCCCAACCCCTAATCCCCCCGGCTGGGGACGTAGACACGTGAGCCAAAGACCACCGTATGGCTACGACTGCTCTGTTTTCTGTTCCCCAGCATCCTTGGGATGTACCTGTTTGGCGGTAAGTTTTGCATGCTTGCGGACGGTTCGCGGCCGTGCAAGTGTTCGGAAATCATCGAGCGAGACCCGCAGTGCGTGTGCGACAGGAAGCACTTTAATAATATCCTCTGGGCCACGGTGACCGTCTTCCAGGTAAGCCCTGGCCATGGCCCGGCTTTGCTCTGCGCGCGACGAGTGTTAGACGTTTTCCTTTCCCTTTTTTAAAAAAAGCGTTTTTGTCTGAACATTTATTTTTTGAGGTGTCTTGTTGCGCGACGCGCTCGTGGTTTTATAGATCGTGAATGCAGTACTTGTAATGTCTTGCGGTGGGAATGACTCTGGAGTGGTAGAGTAGTGACGAGGCGTGGCTGTCGTTTTGTCCCTCCCCCAAGTCCCTTCCCCAATCACATCCAAGCTTGACATGACGATTTTTTTTTTCCAATTTGTTTTCAATTTTGGTTGTTTAATGAGTTAAACGGCCGACAGTAGAGACGGTGTTTTTGCACTCGGTTGACTCCTTCTCCCTCACGTTAGCGCGCGCATGATTATTTGGTTTTCCCTGATTATTTGTATCTTTGTGTTCTATCTGCTGTTTTTGTTTGCTTTTCCGACGCACCTCTCTCCTTCCTCTCGCGGACCTTGGCATATTTTTTTCCTCACTTATATTCATCTTATGCAAAAGACGCCAACTCGATAAGGGTAGATATTTTTTTTAAAAATATCCTGTCCAGTTTTGAAGTAGGTGTTTTTCTATTAGTTTAGAATGTGAATGACAATTTACTGTAGTCTTCAGATGTGTCAGCATCGTTTATTTTTTGATATGTCGTACCGCGCCTCTTGGACTGTGGCATGAATCGCACTGCATGTTTCAGTCGCATGACGTTTCTTCCTCTTTTATGCGTGTGCGTGGGTGTTTGTGTAGCATGAAACAATTTTTAGCATGTTTCCACATACAACATCGTCACGTCACGAATGCATATCAGTTGCTTTTCAACTCATTAAAGTTTTTACAATATGTTCACGATTCACGAAAATTGATTTTTGTTTTCTTTTTGCACCAACCCAATTTAAAGTCGTTTTTGTTTTTACGATTTGTCTCATTGCTTTATACCTTACATTTTAACAAAAGATAAAAGTCTACTATTTTATTGCGGTTTGTCCCTATTGTTGTTCTCTACTTCTTTTTTCTAACCGCCATGCGTCGCAGATCCTGACCCAGGAGGACTGGAACGTCGTGCTTTTTAATGGCATGGAAAAGACGAGCCACTGGGCGGCTCTCTATTTCGTGGCGCTAATGACGTTTGGCAATTACGTCCTCTTCAACCTCCTCGTCGCCATCCTCGTGGAGGGCTTCTCGTCAGAGGTAGGGGCATTCACGGCCGTTGCTGAGGGATCATCCACAATATAATAAACGTCCGTCATTCGCTGTTTCGAACCTGCCAAGTTCCACGGAGGTAGCTCCCGTGGCCGCCCTCAAAGCGCCTAGTAGGTAGGCAACATCTTCCCTGCAATTCATGTGTGTATTGCGGGATGGCCTACCTTGAGTCTCGCAGGCGCTGAGCTCCCGTAATTTGCCGAATGAGAAAAAAACGGACGTAGTTTCTGCGCGATACCTCGGGGCGTTTCTATGACGTTGTTCCGTATTCTCATCGACTGCTCTCTGGTACCCGCAGCGCAACGAACGGCGCGAGCGGGAGCAGCGCGAAATGGCGAAACACGCCGCCAAGCACGCCGCCAAGCTGTCGGAGCTCTCGGAGCAGATGGACGCCATGGGCACGGGGTCGTCGCGGTCCTGCTCGGCGTCCGAGTCCAGCATGTCGGGCCTGTCGCGCAACGACTCGGCCGTGCGGGACCGGTGGCGGAGCGCGGAGGAGCTGCGCGTGCGGAACAAGGCCAACAACGCCCACCGGGAGAAGGAGAACTGGCAGCGCCAGGGCCAGCGTCAGGGGCAGCGGCAGGGCCAGCGCATGCTCGCCGGCTCCGACCCCAAGTGCAACATCCAGAAAGGTAAAGGGCTTTGTGGCTGCTATGTTCAAACAACACAAAAGTTGTTTTTTGGGTTGTTTTTTTTTTGTGTGTGTGTGTGTGTGTTTTTTCGTTTTTGTTTAGTTTTTTATTTACGACTGAAACTTAAAACCCATGTTTGGCGTCGCAGAGAGCAAGATGCTGTACGGCTGGGAGGCGCCCGTCATCACGCACACGGCCGCCACGCCGCAGGACTCGCCCAGCGCGACGGCCAGCGCGTCGGCCAGCGCGGGGCTGGCGTCGGGGCTGCCCACCATCGCCCTGCTCGCCGGCTCCACGCTCTCCATCGACTCCATCGATCGCTCCGTGGTAATTTTTTATAATTGATTTTTAGTTCATTTTATAACAATATTTTCAGTTGGTTTTTTTTTTTTTCGATTTTTCTCTGTGTGTGTTTTTTTAAATGATGTACAATAATTATTTTTTCAATAAGTGAAGTACCTCTTGGTCCCTCTCAGCCTCATGCTTCCTCTCATTGCGCTCTTTGCAGTCCTCGCAGACGAGCATGTCGCTGCTGAAGCCGCCCGACAACAAGTTTAACGTGCACAGCCACAGCCACTGGAACCCGGCCACGCCCGCCGCCCCCGCCCCCGCGCCCTCACCGCCGCCGCCTCCGCCGCAGCAACAGCAGCTGCCGGCGGCGGTGGCGGCTACACAACCCCCGGCGGGCGCGGGCGGCGGGCGCAGGGACAGCGCGGGCAGCGTGTCGCCGTGCCTGCGCCGCGTGTGCTCGTGGAAGCTCTCGCGGCCCTCGCTGCGCCGCAAGTCGCGCCGCCACTCGGGCTCGGAGCCCGAGGACGCGGACTACGTCCCGCTCAACAACAGCCACGGCCTGGCCCTCGGCCTGGACCACTCGGCGTGCAACGGCCGCTTGCTAGCCTCGATCCGCAACGACACGCAGGTGCGGTGCCGTGATACATTCGTGTGTGTTATTACATATTTTTTGTATTCACTGTTTCTTATTTTTACAATTTATTTCCAGTGCTTGAACAACAACAATAACAACAACACGCACACGCTCAACAACAATAATAACAACAATAACAACAACAACAGCAGCATGTGCGCCCTGAGCGGCGCTCTGAGCCTTCCACCGCCCGGCGGAGGGTCGCGCCGGCCGAGCCTCAGCCCCCAGAACTCACTCCGGGGCCGGGTGTCTTGGTCCGGGCGGTCCCC